GAGGAGTTACTTGGAGAATGGAACGGATCGGCCCTGACGGGGGAGGGGCGGGGAGCTGACCTGCACCAGCAGCTGGCCGGAATCGATCGACCCACTGGGGGAAGTCGTCGGCGCCGTCACTGGCACTCATACAATCACACACTCATCAATGGCTGACGATCTCTCCACTGCGTCACTTCCACAGTACTCGGTCCCTGGACCACAGGTACTGCACTCGTAATTCCGTTTCTTCTTTCTTCAGCTAACCACTAAAGCAAGTTGTTAAATGACCGCGAAATCTTTCCCCGCCAAACCCAATCAATCAAATGGTCAGTCCGCTCATAGTTAATGTAAAACCTTAACCTTGGCACATGTCAAAAATACCACTCACCCTCGTTGTGATCCAGTCCTATAAATTTGGGAGACTGCAGGTGTCTATAAAGCGGTACCTGTACGTGCTGAGCTGTTCAGATGCCGTTGAATACAAACTGAAATCAAACCTGGTATGCAGAACAACTTATACTAAGCGTATATGAAATTCTCCGCGGTTAACTTCGCATTCAATCGTAGTGAACTGTACTCACCACTCTTTCGCGTAAGATGTGTTGCAATGTGTGTGGTATTCTTGCAGACATCACACTTCATCCAACGACTTTCTAAAATTGCTGCTCTTTTAATTGGTTTGAAAAGGCTGTGCTTGTTTTTCCCAGTCATTTATGGCCTCTGAAATTTCGTAAATGCTTCGAAAATGCGAGCGGTCAAGATGAAAGTTAAGAGTTTTGCCCCAGTGCTTACGTCGATTAGTCGAAGGGATATAGTGGTGCGAAGCAGTTACTGAATTCAGCTCTACATTAGGCCGCGTTCATACCTTGCGACCATGAAGAAATGCGGAATCTGCGGAAATGACGAAAAGCATTACATACATATCGATTTGAAGAAATGCAGAAATGCGGAAACTGCAGAAGTGCTGAAATGCGGAATCTGCAGAAATGACGAAAAGCAACCGATACGTATCGATTTTCCGCAATTCGGCATTTCTGCATTTCTTCAGATTCCGCATTTCTGCATTTCTTCAAATCGATACGTATCTGAGGCTTTTCGTCACTTCCGCAGACTTCCGCACTTTTCCGCATTTCTGCATTTCTTCACGGTCGCAAGCTATGAACGCGGCCTTGCGTTACTGGTGTGTGTGTGTGTGTGTGTGTGTGTGTGTGTGTGTGTGTGTGTGTGTGTGTGTGTGTGTGTGTGTGTGTGTGTGTGTGTGAGTGAGTGACGTGATGGAGTCGATTCGGAGTAGCTAGGTAGATGCCTTCATCTAGCGGAAAACGCAATTCAAGCCTGTGAAACTTCATTTGCAGGGCTAATGCCGTTTGGACTCCAGCAACTTCGGCACCGAGCTCATTTTTAAATTACCTAAGTCGCCAAACCCGCTGAAAATATGTACACAAGGGTTATTTACCATCCTGATTACAATTATGACACTCATTCTTGGCGCTGGCGCCAAGGGATGACACTACGATTACCTCTTGGGCTCAGCCTTAGCGGAGCGCAGGTAATCGTAGTGTCATCCATTAGCGCCAGCGGCAAGAGTGAATGTCATATTCGTAATCAGGATGTTAAACTACCCCTACATACAAGTTTTTAGCGGATTTGGTAACTTAGGCAATTTAAAAATGAGCTCGGTGCCGAAGTTGCTGGAGTCAAACGCATTAGCCTGTGCAGAGGGCTACTGTAACACGACGAAATATTGCACCCGAAATAGTCCAATAGGCGTAAACAAAGATTTCGTAGAACCTGCGGAAAAAAGAATGTACGCATCGTTTACAAGAATCCGCAGATTTCGAAGATTTCGTGAAGCCGCCGCACGAGAGAAGACTCGATAGGAATTGGTTATCAAGCCCCGCCCTTCGTCCGTTTATTCAGTTTCGCGGAATCTGTACGTTTTCAAGTCACAAGCACATTTTTATTAGGTCAGTTTCACGGATTCCGTGGAATCGATGGGTATGAATGCTGTCATAGTGCACCAGCTCCTATTCTTCCTACGGTTTATTTAATGCTAACGACTGGCTTCTAACCCTTGCGGAAAACCAACTTTTGTGGCCCGCATCTCCCGCTGTAACACGCATTTTCCGCTTACCAGGCGTTTGCGTTATCCATTACCTACTGGAGCCGCTTTTGCCCTCTCATCATGACACAATGTACTGTAAGGCAATGGCACAAAAAGCCAATGAATTGGAAGGGTAAAAGCGACCCCGGTAGCGTAATGGATTGTACAACCGCACAGTAAGCGAGCAGCAGGTGTGTCTGGTCCAGCGTGTGGTGCAGCGTGTGTTCCAGCCCTGTCTGAGGTCTGATTTTTTTCCCATAACTTGACGTTCTTGTAGAAACCTTCGAAGCGCGAACTGTGGCGTTAGACAACTGTTATCATACTAAAACAAAGTAAAACCTGACTGCGTTTAATTTGGGCTACTTAGATCGTTGGAGGGACCAAATACCAGCAACTACTGGCAGTTATCGAGGAGTTGGGCAAGGATATCCGACCGACTTACACCGGCAATAAAATCTGCGCTGAACGTCTTAAGAGATCCATTGCTCACTCTCGGATACTTGTAAGGTCAGCTCTCATTGGTAAATTTCTTTTTATGTCTTCAGAACTTTCGATGTTCAGGGAGTGCCTGATAGAGGCGGAGAAGGATCGACAAAAAGCAGCAGCGGATGCAGCTGTTAAAAACCAATAACCTGTATACACCTAATTTATTTCTGCCCTTCTTGATGTTTTCGCTGTGAATGTGCCGTTTTATTTGTGATTATTATGACTTGCTCTATAAAATTGCCTCAACGACCCGCTTTTGCTCGTTCTACTGCATCACAACTTCTCGTGTCCACATATCAGCTAGAGGGCTCTGATTCACGAGTCGGCTCTCTGTACATTCTCACGCATAGCCTCGACATTGTTCGATGTATTACGGCTCCAGCTGGGGTGTTTCGATTTGACTTTGTGGAACCACACGTTATTATAGCAGCTGTTACTGATGGCTCCCTCTTCACCGCCTCCATTACAGGTCAGTACCAACCCAGCTATAATCATTTCTGGTTCTTTTGTTTCTTTAATTGTCTTACAGCAAAGGAAGGCCTACCCTTTACAATCTTTTATGAAAGACTGGGACGCCTGGGCGAAGTTTGTACCCCACCACCCAGCGCTCGGCAGTTCCGGGGGCCGTATCAATGGAGGACACGAGTCGTGGGTGCATTGAGAAAATGAGGGAATGGGTGGAAATATAGTATGG